TTATTTCATTAAGTAGATTTTTTATGCCTTTGCTGATCTCTTCTCTTTCTGTGATTCCTAAAGGCGAATATTTGTTTGCTTTATTATTTTTTAAGATCATTTTTTCTTTTTCTCTTTTCTTGTCTGACTTCATTATATCAAAAGACCTGCCTTCAAGTTCAGAGCTTCTTTCTTGTGCTTGTAATAATCTACTGCTGAAGGTCTCAATGGTATTTTTTATTTTATTCAATGAATTCTTCAACTCCAGGATTTCTATTTGGTTTATTTTTATATCTGTCTCTTTGTTGAACTTCTCACTGAGGTCATGAAATTTTTATTGATTTCTTTTATTATTTATCTGTGTTTTATGTCACTGAATTTCCTTAATGTCATTATTTTAAATTCTTTCTTAGACATTTCATAGATTTCCTTTCTTTTAGGATCTGTTAATGAAGAGTCATGTTTTCCTTTGGAGGTGTCAGGTTTTTTAGCTTTTTCATGTTTCTTGTGTCCTAAAGTTAATATCTGCACATCTCATGTAACAGTCTTTTCTTCCAATTGTATGGATTGGGCTTTTTAGGGAAAGACTTTTCCTATAGCTGTGTCTATAGTGTTGGGTGGGTACAGTGCTTTGGCTTTGATTCTAGGTTGTTGCTATAGTTTAGTCTTTGTATGATTTCTTAAGCTATAATTGACATCAGTGGTATCTATGAATTCTTCTGGCTTAGGCTGCAGTTGTTAGTAGAGAATTTTGCAAGGCTTTGCCGGGGATAGCAAAGTCAGCTGTGCTGCTTCTTGGGCACAAGTGGTGTTGGTGGCAGGATGGGCATGCCAATCCTTAAGCCCCTATGTTACATACACAGTTGGTGGTGATTTGGGGTAGATAAGTCCTATCCTCAGTCTCCTAGATAGCATGCTTGGGTGCCAGCTGTGATGGGTAGGCTGGGCTGATCTCCTGTTCCCAAACAGTATGTGTGAACTCTAGCAGCAGCAGCAGCAGTAGCATGTGGGGTGGGATTATCCTTGGAGCCCTTGACATAATGTGTGGGTACTGCTGGCAGAGGTATTTAGTGGATCAGGGTTATTCTCAGTCTCCCAAATGGCACACATGGAAGGCCAGTTCTCAGGCTCCATGTAGGTGCACCTAGGTGCATGGTAGCCCCACAACTGGAGGGGGTGGGGTTGTTGATGGCAGTGACCTGGAGCAGGCAATTCACAGGCTGTGGGAGACCATGTGGTTCAGTTTCCTTTGTCCTGGGGACAGCCTCCCTGGTTTGTGGTACTGCCTGTTTTTTTGGAATGTAGGACCGTGTGTGGGCTAGAGTGCTGGGGACCCAGCCATACTGCTAGGTCCAGCTGGCATAATGATGCTGCAGCCCTCTGCGTAGATGTAGGAGTATGTCATTGGGGCTTCAGGGATGTGGACTTTAAGGGCTGTTGGTTTCCAGAGCAGGATATAGTCTGGTACGGGATAGGTTCACAGAATGGTGCTGTGCTGCAGCTACTTGGGTCTTGGGGAGTGACTGGGAACCAGTGTGAATTCCCTCTCTGGAACAATGCAGTTGCCTGGACTCCAGGCATCTCCCTGTAGTATCCTCAGGGCTTATGAGGAAAAAGGGGCTCTCTTGTAGGATTGCAGGCATCTATGGTGGGAATGTGGACCACTGGGGATCTCTTGCTTAACTTTTTCCTGCAGTGGGAGTGTCTCCTGGATTTGAGGTAGTCTTGCTATTTCCCTTTCCTTTCTTTCCTCAGAGGGTCCCTTTCACTTCCCTACCAAATTCAAGTGTTTTCTTTTAGACAGTCTTTTTGACCTGTGTTTATCTACTTGTTTAGTCTTTCGTTGTGGAAAAGGCAAAGTGCCAGGCACCTCTATTCAGCCATCTCAATGAAGTCTCTCAGCTATTTCTTTTAATTCCACTTTATCTTCAATATTGGCTTATTATTTATTACCTATTTTAAGTATTATCCTAGGCTTTTCAATATACATATTTAATTTATTATAATCCATCTACTTTCAAACAATATTATACAGTTCCTTATATAGTTTAAGAAACTTATATTAATATCCTTCTCTTTCATCCTTTGTGCTGTTTTTGTCATATACTTTACTTTTTCATATGGCATAAACACACAATACGTTGTCACTATTTTCTCTTCAGACAGTCATTTATCTTTTTGAGTGATTAAAAATAAGAAAATTTATATTTACTTTTACTTATTCTATTTCTGAAGCTCTTCGTTTCTTTGTGTGTATTTTAGTTTATATCTGGTATCATTTTCCTTTTGCCTAAAGAACTTTCTTTGGTATTTCTTATACCACAGGTCTGTTTATAACAAATTTTCTTATCTTTTATTTTTCTCAAAATACCTTCCTTGTGTACTTTATTTTTAAATGATGTTTTCAATTACTATAAAATTTTAAGTTGACATTTTTTTCCCAGTAGTTTAAAGATGTCATTCCCTTGACTTCTGGTTTGCACAGTTTATGATATAAAATCTATTATATATTTTTTACCTTAGTTACTTTGAATGTAATTTTTCTTTTTAAATATGACATATCTAGTTTTTAAAATATATGTATTCTACTTGTTGCTTCTTAGATTTGTAGCTTGCTATTTTTCATTAATTTTGGAAAATTCTCAGGCATTATATCTTCAGATATTTTTTCTCTTCGTCTCCATTCTCTCTTTCATCTCCTCTAGAATCCCAGTTATACATATTTTAGGTCATTTGATATTTTTCCACAGCTCTTGGATGCTATGCTCTCTTTTTTTTTTTACTTTTCCCATTTCTCTTTGCATTTATTTTCAACTTATTTTTATTGATCTATAGTTTAGTGATTTATTTTTCATCTGTGTCACATCTGCTGATGAGTGTATTGAAGATATTCTTCATGTCTGTTACTGTGTTGTTTATTTGTATCATTTCCTTTTGGCTCATTATTGTGGTTATGTCTCTCTGATGAAATTTCCTCTTCATACATTTTGTCCTCCTTTTTCACTATGGCCTTTAACATATTAATCTTAATTATTTTAAATTCATTATATAATAATTCCATTATTTGGTAATTTCTGATTCTGGTTCTATTGTTTTGTTGTAGACAGTAGGATTTTTTTTTTGTATGTTCCACAATATTTGATTAAAGGCTGGCTATCTAGTGTAGAATAGTAGAGGATGATGTACATACTATTTGTCCCTGGAAATGGATACACCTCTTTCTTGGCCATTTATGTAGGGGGTTGTGTCAACCTAGTTCAGAATTAAGTCAGGTTTGAGTTTCATTGTCACTATAGTTATCTTCAGTTTGCCACTAGCTTCATATTTTTCTAGTGTCACTTTATTCTTGAGGGAAGGGGCTGGCTGGGGTGATTGAGAATTTTTCTTCAGTGTTCTGCTTCACTCTACACTTTTGATCTTCCCTGGGTACGTGTCCCACATATGGGATTACATATGGGATTTTTCTTCATGATTCTGTCTATACCATATACTATACTATACTATACTATACTATACTATACTATACTATACTCTAGAAGTATTTTGCTACTGCTTTTTATTCACTGCTTGCTAGCATAGTGTTGAGGGGGCAAAACTGTTTTCTTTTTTAGTAGTCTAGTTTTAATGTTAGGCGGGGCTTATATGCCCTGGTTTTAACTTGGAGTTTTTTCAATGATCCCACCTGTCTTTCCTGTGGCAGCCAAATTCTGCCTTGAATCTCTGATAGATATTGTGTTATTCAGTTTTATTCTGCTCCCTCAGGTATAGAAACCCTCTAAAAATGTCGATATAGAAATCTGGGCCCAGGACTGTTTCCTGCCCCTCTTCCAGGTGTAGAATATTTTTCTTTTATTGTTCCTCTTCCCTTCACTTGCACAGTGAGGTGATAAGGTTTGTTATTTCTCTCCTAGTGGCGTAAGGCCTTTTTTTTCCCACAAGGGATAAAGATATTGGTGGGGCTTCATGGCTTTCCTATAACAGAAGCCATTCCCCGTCTCTAGGCCTGTACCACAAACAAATGCATTTTCTGGGCTACTGCCCTGCCCCTGATATTTCTCCTGAATGTATGGTATAGGCCTGTACAGAAGAGTCTGCAAGTGAGTGTAAATTCCCTGTTGTGTTTATTACTCCCAGTAGTTCTGTACTCTTATATATCCTATATTTGACATTTAATACTTTAAAAAAATTAGCTCAATTTTCTTACTTTTTTTTATGAGTCCCAGCATTTTTTCGTCTTGCGTTCTTCTATAGAGGAGTCAGTGTTTGCTTCCCATCTCTTTTTGGTGGGACCTGACTTTCCTTAGATATTGGATTATTTGGTTGCTTTGCAACCTCAATTCTTTGGTGAATTTGAGAAGGTTATGATTTTGTACTTTATTGGGACATTTCTTGTTGTTACAGTAGAAGTGATGTCCTTTACATTTTTCTACATCTTAGGTGAAAGTGAAATTCATAAACTTAAAAATTAAAATTCCTGTTAGGAAATAGAACTTCTATGCTAATTCAGTGGTTCTCAAATTGTTTCTTGTAGTACAACATTTGGAAATCATAATGTAATTTGTAGAACTATTGCTTTATTCAAATTTAAACAATTGACTATTTGTGATGAATTAGATACATTACCACTTATTAAATAGTTGATGCAAATTAATGAACATCTTAGATTTCAGTAATGATACTAGATATTTTTATATCTAATTTTTATAACACAACTTTGGAAGATGGGTTTACTATTCTCTTTTTAATGGATGAGAGGAACTGATGCTTAAAGGTATTAGGTTGATTACTTTGGGGCACAGAGAATTAGTATGAGTAGAGGTGAGATTTGAGCCCATATTATTTTGATTCCAAAATGTATCCACTTTATACTATACCATAATGTGTAATTAATTTCTTTTTGCCTGGATAAACACTCAATGAGGAAGGGGGTAAGTTAATGGTAAAAATCTTGTTAGACTTCTGTTGCTGAATACACTTTAATTTCATTTTAACATGAGCCAATTTTCTTTTGGAAAAAATAGGCAATGATATGGGAAACGATGATGCCATCGGAGGGAATGTGAGCAAATATACAGTACTTCCAACCGGATACTGTGGACAGCCCAAGAAAGGACATCTTATCTTTGATGCTTGCTTTGAAAGTGGTAAGTGTATTAAAAGCCTTTGCCTTTAGGCTTTTTTAAAGAATTCAATTCCATCTGATCATTCAGTGTGATTCAACTCATTTAATATTTCACCATAATGGAACAAGTTGTCAGGCAAAAATCAATTTTCAAGGAATTAACTTAGATATATAAAATTTCTGTTGCTATAAATGATTAAAAGTATAATTGATAGTAATATTAATGAATATTTATATAAAACCTTATATTTTGCAAACTACTTTCCCAGGTATTATTTTTTGGGGATAAAACTGGCATGGTTTGACTATGTTATAAATTATGATCTATTGGATGTCTAATATGTACCTGCTTCTGTATGCTATGCTCACAGACTTAATCTTAGGGGGAGAGGAAGCTTCTGTACCACACTCAAAAAAAGAAGAAAAAATTAGGGAACAGATTGAATTGAACACAAACAAAAGACAGAAAGTAAAATTGCTTCATAATTGACAAATGCTGTGGGTATTCTGAAAGGGGAGCTCAGAATTTTATTGTGTATTCTCATCCAGTAGGGGTTGGATCTTGTTAAGCTCTTTATGTCCTGAGTCTCATACTTTGAATGGCACATAGTAGGTACTCAGAATTTATTGAAATATTAATGAGAAAGGCAAACATACTTTTATAATTGTTAATCTTCTTTGGTTCTGAATAATGTGCATGAATATGTATTTCTGTGTATGTGTACATGTGTGGTTGAAGGACCATATCAGTGTCAGTTGTATAACAGTTCTCTGAACCCTAAAAACATTGATTGTTTATACCAAAAAATTAAAAATTTGCTTGTGCAGGGTTCTGTTCTTTGATTATTTCATGTTGTATTAATTTGATAAGGCTGACCTAACAAAGTACCAAAAACTGGGTGGCTTAAACAAGAGAAATTTGTTTTCTCATAGTCTCATAGGACTCAGTTTGTCCCAAAATACCACAAACTGAGTAGCTTAAGCAACAGAATTTTATTGTCTCACAGTTTTGGAGGCTAGAACTCTGAGATCCAGGTGTTAGCAGGGCTCGTTCCTTCTAAGGATTATGAGGAAGAATCTGTTTCATGCCTCTCCTCTGGCATCTGGCAGTTAGCAATCTTTGGTGTGCTTTGGCTTGTAGAAGTATCACCCTAATCTCTGCCTTCATATTCATTCAGTGTTCTCCCTGTGTGTGTGTGTATCTGTCTTCATATTTCTACTTTTTGTAAGGCTGTCAGTCATATTGAACTAGGACCTATTTTAAAGACCTCATTTTAACTTGATTATCTCTATAGACCTTACCTCTAGGTAAAGTCACATTCTGAATGAAGTACTACGGTTAGAACTTCAACATACAAAATTTCAGGGGACACAATTCAGCCCATAACATATTACTGTAGTATTGGAGTTCCAGTCAGACCTAAATACTGTCCACATAATTAGGAAAAAGGTCTTCTGTTTTCTTTAAATCTTGTGGTAGTGTCTTGTCTGCAATATACTTGATGCCTAGAAAATATTTTTGATTCTTTTTTACCTCAGTTAAAGGCCTGAAGGCCCTTTACAATAATCCCCACTCTGTGATACAAGGGATTATCCTCATTTTAAAGATTAAGTGTTGTTTTGATTTACATATAGCCTGAAATAATCCAGATTCCTTTCTTTGAACATCTTTTCTTTAATCATATTCCAGTCTTTTCCCAACCCTTACCAAAAAACTCAGTTGAGTTTTTATTGTTCAATCATATCACATAATTGCCAAATGAATAATGCATATTTTACCAATAATGTATAAACAATTAGTTATATCATTTAGGTCTGTGCTAGTAATACATAAGCCTTGCAGTATAGTAGAATGATAAAGTGTACAGCCTTTAGAGTCAGACTGCAGTTCCATCCTTGGCTTAAAAAATGAGCCAGTTTTCTTACTTTTTAATGGGGAATGATATCTTTCTTTTATCTTAATGATATATACACACATAAATATATACATATATATAATATATATATTTCCTTGTTTAAAAATTTAAATTACCTTACCACAATATACATAAAAATAATAAAAAATATTTTAAAAATAAGTAGATGGGGAATTCTTAAAAAGGGTATATATTAGTTAGAGCAAAGAAGACTCATCAGAATTTAGGGTCTCAGCGCCCACAGCTTCATCAGGGTCTTCCCACATATCCACATCCCAATTTATGGGATCCCATTTTTCCCAGTTAATGCTCTCACTTTAACAGTAAACACACTGATAGGCTGGGAGTTCAACTTGCATTGTAATTCAGCCAGTGGCAGGGTGAAGTTCTGTATTTGATCTTTAGCAGCCTTGGGGTTACAGGAGATAAGGGTGTCCTTCAGGACACACATAGAACCTCTTAGGTTATCCATGGAGTGCATAAACTGGGAATTTGAATCCGCGAGTTCATCCCTTTTTTTCACCACATGTACCAATGACATTAGGAGCAACTAACCAATGTCATTATATTCATTAATTTTCTAAAAATGTTTGAAAGTTTCTTAAATAGACTCACACAGCTTCTTGCTTCTTCTTCTTCTTCTTTTTTTTTTTTTTTGACACAGAGTCTCACGCTGTTGCCTGGGCTAAAGTGCCGGGATGTCAGCCTAGCTCACAGCAACCTCAAACTCCTGGGCTCAAGTAATCCTTCTGCCTCAGCCTCCCTAGTAGCTGGGACTACAGGCATGTGGCTTCTTGCTTCTTATAAGTGGTTGATTAGGAATATCCAGTGAAGATATTTTGCATGTCTCTATAAACAGTTCATGCTATGGAGTAACAGTGATCTCTTTGCTACTAGAAATAATATCATTAGCATCTTTAAATCTAATCAGATTAGAGAGCCAATCCCAGCAACCCCAGAACCAATTCAGAAACTCATTTTTTAAATTCTTTTCTTTTAGAACCACTGTCAGTACCAAAATCTGTATTAGTCAGGGTTCTCTAGAAAAATAGAACCTATACGCATACACACACATTATATGTATTTTATATATATGAAGAGAGTTATTATGAGGGATTGGCTAATGTGATTACTGAGGCCAAGAAATTCCATGATCTGTCATCTGTAAGCTGGAGACCCAGGAAAGCCAGTGGTGTAATTCCAGTTCCAGTCCAAAGCCTGAGAACCTGGTGAGTTGATGATGTAAATCCTAGTTGAAGAGCAGGAAAAAGACTGATGTTCCAGCTCAAGCAGACAGGCAGGAAGTAAAAAGTGGTGAATTCCTCCTTCCTTTCTTTTTATTCTAGTCAGGCTGCAACAGATTGGGTCATGCCCACCTACAAAGGGGGAAGGGCAATCTATTTTAGACTAAATCCATGGATTCAAATGCTAATCTCATCTAGAAACACTCTTGTAGACACACCCAGACATAGTGTTTAATCTGGGCATCTTTGGGCCCAGTCAGGTTGACACATAAAATTAACCACCACAGGGGAAATAGTAAAGGAAAATTCAGTTGGATGATTACATAAATTGTATGGTATGAGGTCCTATAAATTTGTTATAGGTAGGCAACAAATTTAACTGTGGATTTTCTGCAGCCAGTGCCATAAGATAAAAATAAAACAGGTACTGAAACCTTCTTGTTGCGTTTCCTAAAGTGGGCACAGAAAATGTGATGAACAATATTCTTAACAATATCCCTACGGTATTTAGAACAATACATTTCATAGGGGTATATCTTGTAACATCCCTCAATGTAGGCTAAAGACATAATACTAAGTGGCATTTTAGTGAAAGCAATTTAGTTGCCACTTAAAACAATTTGTTTGACATATGCAGCTTTCATCTGATCTAATTTAATTTGAGGATTTATTTTAGATTATTTAAAATAGGGTTATCAGAGGGGTTTTCTCTTGTGTGCAACCCTGAACTACTGACTATGGCTGACTGGTGTGCTATGTTGAAAAGGATGCTTACGGTACATCCAGACTTACTAAGAAGGAGAAAGGTGATTAATAGATTCAAAGAATGGGGATTATCAGTCATGTGGATGAAATATATTGCCTTCAGACAAGCCTTTCTGAGTATTTTTTTCTTTCAGAGTTGTCGAGTTCACATTGCCTGAACCCTACCTTGTGGATAATTGTTTTTCTCATAAGAAATAATGCCTACAGGTCAAATATGAACTCTTCTATGAAGCCCTGGTCTCTTTTTTCCATTTCCCTCTCTATAGGTATTATTTCATTTGGGAAAACAGCCATACCACCCTAATTTTATCTCTTTAGAGATGCATGACACTTTTCATGATTTTTTAACTTTTTTTGTTCTCCTCTACTAGAATATAACTTGCTGTAGGACAGAATCTGAGCTCGGGAATTACTTTATGCTTTTGAATCCCACTCTTTTCATCTAAAATGGGGAAAATACTTCATAAGATTTTATAAAAATAACTAATTATATTTACCGATTTTTAAAATGCCTAATCTATGCCAGCCTTTGAGCAAGGGACTTTACATGTATTATCTATAATACTTTCCTTTTCTGGATTCCCTGTACTAGGTTAGGGTCTCATCCTTACAGACTCATAGCAATCTATATACTCTCTCCACTAGAAGTACTCCTTTAAATGCCAAAAGTTTGTAAGCTCTGTAGGATCTCTTGTTTACTACTATGTGGTAAATGCTTAGTCCAGAGCCTGGTACATAATAGGTGTTCAGTAAACATGTATTAAATGAACATAATTATCACAACAATTCCACTAAGTAAATATTACTAGTGCTGCTTCACAGATGAAGAAAGAAAAGCTTAGAGAAGTTAAGCATATGTCAAGGTTACACAGCATCTAAGAGGTAGAGGCAGGATTTGAATCTGGGTTTGCCAGTTAATGACTAATAGCTAATAGTCAGTCACAGACATTGTGCAAGGCCCACTACATACTTTGACATACTTTATCTCATTGAATCCCCACATCTTATGTGGTAAGTATTATTATTCTGTCTTATAGATGAAAGAGTAGGAGCCCGAAGTAGTTATGTAATTTCCTCATGGTTACACAGTTAAACAA